GTTTTTTGGGGGGGGAGGAAAAATGCATCTTCGCCTATGTACCCAAAATTCTTTGCACCGGCCCTGCCATAAGGCCCACTCATGAATCCACTTATTTGTTCCACCTACCCATGAGTTCGCTCACAGGAAGTGGAGTGTGTAGGGGATGTGTTATGTGTTATTGTAGAGGATCTAATATGTGTGCTTATGGTATGTAGTGTATAGGGATACCAGTTTGTGTAGGTGATGCAGTGTGTTTGTGTGTAGTGGAAGCAGTGTATATTTGTGTATAAGGGATGTATTATGTGTTTCTGGTTGTGTGTAAGGGATGCATTGTGTGAATGTGTTTGTATGCATAAGGGATGCAAGGTGTGTGTCTGTATGTGTGTGCATTGAGTGTAAGAGATGCATTGTGTTTCTGTGTGTATGTATGAAAAGCAGTGTGTGTGTGTTTGCATGTGTGTGTAAGGGTTTGCATTGTGTGTTTCTGTGTATGTGTGCAAAGAATGCATTGTCTTTGTGTGTAAGGGTTGCATTGTGTGTGTGTGTAATGGATGCATTGTGTGTTTCAGTGTGTGTAGGGATGCATTGTGTGTTTCTGTGTATGTATAGGGATGCATTGTGTGTGTGTGTGTGTGTGCGCGTAGTGAGAAAGAGCTCCTGTCTTGCCCCCTGTCCTATAGAGCTGTCCATTCTGTCCCTTAGAGCTCTCCTCTGCCCCTTAGTGGTCTCTCCTCTCCCCCACCATCCCCTAGCGGTCTCTTCTCACACTCACCCACCCTCCCTGTGCTCTTCTCATCCTCCCTACCCTCCCTGTGTTCTCCTCACCCCTCGGTGTTCTTTTTACCCCCCTCCTCCCTGTTCTTCTTACTCCCCCCTTGTTCTTCTTACTACCCCACCTGTTCTTCTTATCCCCCTTCTTCTTACCCCCTTCTTCTTTTTCCCCTTCTTCTTTCTCCACCTTCTTACTGCCCCTTATTCTTACTCCCCTTCTTCTTTTCCCTTCTTCTTCTTACCCCCTCTTCTTCTTCTTACCCCTCTTCTTCTTCTTACCCCTTCATCTTCCCTGCCTCCCCCTTCTTCTTCCCACGCCCCCTTCTTCTTACTCCCCCCTTCTTCTTACCACATACCTTCTTCTTACTCCCTCTTCTTTTCTCTCTCTTTTTCTTACTCCCCTTCTTCTTTCCTCACCCCTTTCTTCTTCTTACCCCCTTCTTCTTCTTACCCCCCTCTTCTTCTTACCCCCTGTAGCGGATGGCACTGGGCTGTCCTGGAAATTGCATATGTGTGAATGTGTTCATGTAAATTGCAGGGTTATATGTGTAAAAATAGGTTGTATTTGTCTGATTGTTCGGTAGAATCATGCAAACAACTAAGGGAATGAGAAAATAAAATTGTCTGGTATGCCTAAACAACACACAGGAATCAGGGAATCGAACTTGTGATGGATTGCTCAAAACTGGATAAACACAGGAGTTCACCAAAAACCTGTCTTTAAAGCGGCACTGTCATGCCGAACTTACCTTTCCTCAATCTCTTCCTCTTCTCCCCCTCTCTCAGGATCTGTTATTCTTTTCTTCCTATCTTCTTTAGTTTTCTTTAAAATCATAAGACAAAGTAGGGACTCTTTGCCTTATGGAGGATTCCTCCGCTTGACCAGCTCTGACCAGCGGAGGAGCAAAGTGTGCTTCATTTCCGCTGGTCAGAACAATTTTCCCATGATCCTTACCTTCCCTCTGTGTTCCCACGATGCTTCCTGTCACTTTACACAAAACTGCCGAATTACGTTCTAACTGAATGAGAACAGTATGTTCGTTTCTTTTAGAACGCAATTCGGCATTTTATTCGGATCGGAATTTCATTTTAATGAATGAAACTCCGATCCTATTCATTGCCGCTGCTGCATCTTGCAGCCGCTTAGTAGATAACTCCCTAATTCCCACGGTATCAGGGAGCTATCTACTAAAAGGCTGAAAGACCTAAATTGGTCTTTCAGCCAACTTTACTAATACTAAGTAAAAATTACTTAGTATTAGTAAATTAAATGCCCCTACTCGCTATACCGCGAGTAGGGGCATGTGTAGTAAGCAGTGAGCAGCTTATAGCTGCTCACTGTAAAAAAAAACAAAAAACTAATAAACCCCCCCCCCATGCCGTGGGGGCCCTAAATAAAGATGGGGGGGACCTACTGTCCCCCCCTGGCCCCCACACCTGAGCGGTGGGTGGGGCCCTAAATAAAGATATGGGGGGGGACTTCTGGCACCCACCCCTGCGCAGTGGGTGGGGGCCCTAATAAAACAATAAGGGGGGGACCTACTGTCCTCCCCCCCCCTGGCCCCCACCCCTGCGCGGTGGGTGGGGGCCCTAATAAAACAATAAAGGGGGGGGACCTACTGTCCTCCCC